TTCTACCTTTGGCAGGCTTATCTGTTGTCTGCAAGTGTGCTGTTTCTGCTTCTACATCTCAGATCACCTTTCTACAGCAATTATGTCTAAGGAGAAAAACATTACTAACTAATATATTTTGTTTACTGAGGTTTCACTTTACCCTGTTCTTCGGCAGTGTCACCTACATGGTCCACTTCTCTGAATCTAAATCCATCTTTACATAACAACTCCTTAGTTTGGGACTTCATGGTAAAGAAAACATATGGAAAGTAAAATTAAATCTAGATACGAATACTGTCTACTAATGTACCTAGGGAACAATCTCCTCCATCAATCTTCTGAGTCCCTGAAGTGTCATGTCTGAGATTAAATCCCTCCCACTGTGCCATGCAACAGCAGCAGAATCACTCAGCAGTGATTGCTGCATTGCAACGTGCCTCCATACAGCACAGATCTATTTGACATCCCTAGAGAAAGACATATAAGGATGTGTGGGGCAAGAGAAAAGAGAAATAATAAATAGGTGGAAATAAGAGGGAGGAAATGGGGACAAGAGTGAGATGTGAATGAAAAAGAAAGAAGTTAATAAGAAGAAAGCAAGAAAGAGTGACTGCAAGAGTTCTGCAAGAGCATTCACCTGGATCTTCAAATTTTCACCCCTTAATGCTGGTTTTCAGTAGAAATTCCCCACTGCCCCAAGTTTCAATACTTGTCTGTATTTACTCCATTACAGCCCACAGAGAGATTGGCCAGCATTTCTTTATGCCTTGCCTGTTTAACAGTGTTGTGGAAACACTAAAGTGACCTGAAGTTTTGAAATTTCACCTCTGATAGTCATTCAAACATTTAATTTCTTAAATCTATTGCCATTCATTGACACTTGACCTCCATAAACTCTTTAAAGAAGAGAATAGAAATGATTTTTTTCAAAAATGTATCATTTTATTTTTGTAACCAAGAATTCCAGTATTTAATATTTGTATAGAGATGATTTTTTCCCCCCACTATATTAGTTCTGTTCTTTTCTGTGCTATTATCTGTGCTATGGGCATGAACTTATTTCCCCCTTTTCTTATCATTCTTCTCTTACTCAGTTCTGCACCAAAGCCATGACCTTGGGTCTGGGACCATTAACAATGCATTTCAGGAAGGGTCTGCCTTCTAAATGTATGAGATTCTGATAAACAAGTGGGATTCAGATTTTTATCTCCAGGTGAAGCTGGCATTTATCACAGAGTTTCTCTGTTTGTGCTTGTCATCCCTGGGGATGAGTAAAATGTCCAAAAACACAGTGGAAAAAATCTACATAAAGTAAACAGCAAAAGGCTAAACCTGGGGGACCCCTGGAGTGGGTGGTCTCAGCTGGACTGGGGTGTCAGTGCTGTGAAACAGCCACAGCCCTCCACCGAGTCATGCTGTGAGGATTCGAGTTGTCTTGGTATCTCTCTCCCCTGCTCTTGGCTGTGTTGCCAAGTGCTGCCTTAGCATCTTCTTTCCCTATCAGTGACACTTTTTCCTCAGATATTTTCAGCAGCTTTGCTTTAGGACCTGATCTGTAACCTATAGGTTTGGGACAGAACTCTATCACTCTTTCCACTTATTGATTTCACTTGTCATTTTACCTTACTGCTTAGTGTAACACCTGTTAGTCTCAAACCTCTCTGGTCTCTCTCACCTTGTTCATCAGCTCTGTACTGTTCAGAGCAGACTTCTGGTTATCCTTTTTCCTTGGGTTACACAGTGTTATTTTTCTCATCTTGTGTTCTAACAGTTATTCCCTTTGCTGGCAGTGCTCAGCTCCCATTTCTGTGAGCACTTTAAACTGCAGGAAGAAAAAAAAAAAGATTTCTGCAGTCTCAAATAAATCTCCTAAGGGGTCTAGCATGAAGTGATGCTGTAATGACACACTATGGTGCTGCCCTCCCACCAGAAATAAGTATTGGGTGACGCTGATCACTGGCTCTACCAGACAACTTAGAAAAATAGTTCTAATGTTCAACAGCTTTTCTCTGAAGTTTGTAAGAAACTGATACATCCTCATTGACTGTTCCAAAATCCTGAGGGACAATTTTGCTCCATATTTGAGAATTATCAGTGGGGCATAGTATCTTCTCTCCAACAACCCTTACTTAAGAGAAACAATGAATATTGTTTTGGATGACAAATGTAGAAGATTCACAACTGGAGAATCAGGAGACATAACTAATCAGGACTGAAGTCTTCTGCTAATTGGTGTGTTTGATTATGAAGTGAATCAGATTCATATGAGCAGGAATTGTTCTAGAGACTATGAAGAGTGATGTCTTGTGAGAGTAGTTTGAAGGGACATCCTTACAACAACAGAGAAGTGGCAGTGTATTTTTACCAATAAGAAAGTATCCAATGGTAACAGAGCAATAGCTGAAACAGAAGGTAGTAATATTACCCAATTTATGTACATATAATAAACAATTTTATTATATTATATACAGAATTTATGTATGTGTTCAATTATTTCTTTGTTAGCTAATTATATTAACATAGTGACTGCATACAGTGGAAGTGAGAAAACCCAAGTGGGAAGGTAGACCCAGGATATGAGGTGATTTTCCCCTGCTGAAGTTTATGGTTCTCTGCAGCTCTCAGAGTCTGAGGCTGAACAAAGCCTCAGTAACACCACGCTGATTTGCAGATGTCGTGTACCCCAGTCATATACTCCTTGTGATACTCTTTGAGAAATCTATGGCTCAAAGGCGCATTTCACAGCTCCTTGCTCTCAGTCACTCACACTTTAAGCCTGTGACTTCAAAGGGACATCTGAAAGGAAATGTTTGGAATGAAAAAAGGAAAAAAAGAAGAAAAAAAAAGAAAAAGATTGTCTGCTTGTCTTTTTTTTTTTTCTTCTTCTTCTTTTTTCTTTTTTTTCCAGTTCATGATATAACAGGCTTAAGATGCTTTGGTATAACTGCTTCTCAGTGGGTTATTTTTCCCTTCTTACTTTACAAAAACCACAAAAAGAAACTGGCAGTGAGGAAGAAAACAACTGTGTGATCCCAATCCAGACGCTTTCATCTTAGAGGGGGCTTGTCAAAGAGCAGGCAAGTGACTTTCCATCTCTAAGCAGGCTACTTGGGTTGAGCTGGAATGATGTCCAAGATAGTGAGTTTCAGAGGTTTTCATATTAAAACTTAAAGCAGTAGCACATGCTAAAGCATATACTGCTCCCTGCTGCAGATCCAGTCAGAGTAAACAACAAAAATCTCTGAGGGTTGTGTTGCCCTTTCAGACGGTAGACAAATCACTAATGTGACATTTTCACATGTTTCTTAGTGTAAATGAGTTTCAGATCTAAATTCAATACTTCTTAAAACTCTAAACATGTTATCAATAACATCAGTGTCCTCCACATATATGAAGTCCTAAACGTCTTTCATGAAGTTTTCTAAAGTGTTGAGGTGATTTTTTGTGGGGTTTTGTTTTGTTTTCTTTTTGTTTCAGTCTGTGATATGCAATGCAATCATATTGAATGTCTGAAGCACGAAACAACACTGGATAATAAAATGGAAACACTCTTGTTTGTAGAAAGACATAGTGGAGGGATTTGTAGTCAGGTTCATGTTTAACCTTTTAATTTTGCCAATGCTGTGGTTGGAAAATGCCTTTTAAATTTAAGTATTCACTTCTGTACATTTACTACTTTGCAAATGAGTATTTAAAAATGTCATTTGTCTTTACAGAGACCTGTAATAATTTTGTATCCACTCATGATGATGCTGGTCACCCTAAGCAAATGCTGTCCGACCCACCATGCCACTGACAGCAGCATTTATTCTCTTCCTAATTGTCTAAGGTTTGCATATATCAGACCATGTAATTTAAGGGATTTTATGCTTTTTCCTTTACTCCACCATATATTAGAAGCATTTCAAATCTTAATAGATTATGGGTTTGCGTCTAAATAAAGAGACTTTTAGTAACTCAGGTAGTAAAAATCTCAATAGCTAATTGAGGATGGTTTTCATTTTTCTGACAAGAGACTTATTCCAGAAAATAATCTAAATTAATAATGTTTTGATAAATAGGAAAAAATCTCAGGAGGTAACTAATTCTGGTTTCTACATAAGATGCAGGTCTACATTACTTATACTTTCATATCAATTTCTCAAATGTTTGGAAGAGCAGGCAATGATTTTGGATTTTCTTGTAATGGAGGATTCTGTGGGTGGGGGGAGGTCTGCTGTGTTTAACAACTCCTACCGTGGTGACTGTCCAGAGCAACAGAAAGTTGAAAACTGTATGGTAAGGATGGTTGCTGAAGGAGTAGATGGCAAGGAAACATTTATCAAGACACTGTCCAACAGTATCCAACACCCTCTTGCCTAATATCAGATAACATGATCCAGGCTGACCACTATTGCCAGCAGGGTGGGCAGTGGAGAATGACAGCACAATTAGGTCAAAAAAACATGGATATCTGCACACTTCTCATACTCTTGCATACAAGAGTAAGAGTCATGGGGACTCTATGCTGAGACAGAAAGGACACTGAGAAGTGGTAACATCACTATTCTTTTTCATCAGCAATCTTACTTACGCTTCTAATACCTGACACAAAGGAAGTCTCAGTTATCCACACAGGCTAGAAACCAGCATGGGATAAAAGAATGTAAGGGTTGTGAAAAAATACAGGACAATTCCTTACCTACATCCTGTACAGAAGTGCATTAATTCTTTCTTTCATTATCTCTAAGGTAGGTGTTGGAAAGGTAAAATCAGTTTAGACCAATGATAGCACATTTGCATTGCATCACCTTTGCAAAGAATATCAAACATCCAAAAGATGACACTCACAAATAATACAATTATATCTGATAAGAAGAAAAATGTCTTTTCTACCTGCTCCTGCTGGATCTTGTCATTTACTAAAGTCACATTCCGTGTTTCTGAACAATTTGTTTATAATTGAACATAGTAACACAGTTTCATAGCTATTTTCAACTACAGGTACAGCAGAGATATTAGGAGAATGAAACTCTTACACTTTTTCTGGGAGAATCTCTTCTTGCTGCCTTGTAGTCTTCAGAGGTAAAGGGGGTTTGTTGCTCTACATCAGTGGACTGGTTTAGTGCTCCAGATAGTGAAGGAATCTGATGCAACTTGCCTTGCACTAAGTAGAGTCAATATGACTTAAACTCCCATGTAAATACACATGGACTTGAAACACAAACAGAAATTTAAGTTTCAGGCATTCTAGCAAATTTGTCATGAACCTGCTGCACATGACTTGTGACACCTTCTGTTCTTTCAACATTGGGAAAGAGGGATTTGACAATAAGTAAATGGCAAATAAATGGTAATGCAGCCTGTTCCAGTATTTGGTTAAATAAAGACAGGATAAAGACAATGTATTAAAAAGAGGAAAAGCATGTAGGTTTCATAGTTTCTTCTTCTAAATCTTGTGATGCACATTGTTCTTCTTTGCAGAACCAGAAAGTGGTTCAGTCTACCATGTTTGTTAGGGTCAGTATAAAAATAAAGTTTATGTAGTAAATTTAGATGAATGAGACAGAAATTTTGGGTTTGCAAGGCTCTATACAGGAAGTGAAAAAACTACATTTGAGATTTTTCTTTTTCTGAAAAGAAAGTTCATAAAGTTGTTGAGACTTATAAGCAAACTGATAAAGGTAGTAGTATTAAGAATGGAGTTAAGAGTTTCATTTTAGATAAAAAAAAAAATTTAGAATGTACATATATGACTTTCTGAAGTTTATGAATGAGTTTCAGTTAAGATTGTTTCTGAAACAGCGGAGAACTGTCCAGCGCACCAGGGTCATCACCCTGTCTGAAACCCTGTGCCATAACCAAATTTGGGAATAATGGTGTTTAAACCAAACAAACTATAAAATCATGACAAAGGTGTACAGAGAGACCTTCTGGTCACCAAAACAGGTGTAAATTATCTTAATTTAAGTTTAATTACAGTCCTTAAATCATCCATTACTTGTCTATTGAGCGCTTTTAGCAGATTAGACTTTCTGTAGAGTTTCACTTCGGTTATTACTAATGTTGGACAACAGTTACTCTCCAAGGTGTCCCTCACTTTCTATTTTCACAGTGGCAAACACGTAGTCTGCACTGAAGAGGCAATTTTAAACATGTACCTGTGAGGAACTTTCAGTATAACCCAATCAGCAGAGCCAGCAAAGCAGCACAGCCCACAGCCTATCTCCTGCTACTTTGAGAATATTCAGAAGACATCTTTATGCCTTTTTCTCTTGCAGGACATATGTAGTAGACTGTGATCAAAAAGAAAATACATCCCAGTGTCAGATATCTCTGGAATCTGCTCTTTCACACAGTGGGAAAATTCTCTTTTGCATTGTATATGTGATCCTACTCAGCTCATCTGACACCATGTAATTCAGTGTTGTTTCCTCTATTTTAAGGAATAGAGCTGAGTGTTTTCCCTACCTTTCTTCTTTTGTTTTACAACCTGGATGCTTTATTCCTATTGTGTTGTCTTGGTTATCTCCTTTTCTTTTCCTTTTTTTATACAAGGAGCTGTTATATCAGTGATGGTGACAGCAGCTACTCCAGAAAACACAGAAGTTTGTTAGAGCTAATAGCTATTCAAGCAATCATTTTGCCTGCTTCCTTAAAATGAATCTGTTCTGAAACAGACAGAAAATCAAAATCTAATAATGTCTGCAACGCCTAATCTCTCCTTCTTCATATGTGTATGTACATAATACATATTTATGCTCTATTGTAGTTTTACTTCCTATCCTTTTTGTTCTTTACTAATATATTTCTCAGTGTGGTTAATCTGCATTGCATTTTTTCCTCTTTATCTTCCTGTCATGGTGTACACAAGAGGTTTGGACAAAGGACAGTAAATCCAATATAATCCAAATTATATGTGCTAATCAACAGTAACCGGTGTTTCTGTCAGAAAGTGCACACCCATTGAATGTGCAGTGCCTTCCACGTTTCTTCTTCTATATTGTTTGGGTTTGAGATTCACAGGATTAATTCTGAGCTGCCTCTGTAATAACAGACCTATCTATTCATGACAAAAATGAATAGATGGTATTTGCTTCATAATAAATTCACTTTATCTGCCCTGCAAACATGCCACTTTTGTGCAGGTTTATATTCTTAAGAATTAAATATCAGGCTTCTCATGAAAACAGCAGTCACTAGGAGGATATTACAGTGTGTTCATGAGGTCAGTTGTGAAATTCCATACATCAGCATTGGCACTGGAGGCCTGACTTGGAGAGTGCTGAGAGCTGGGGTCTACTGTATAAGATACATTACTCATCCACACACCAATTTCAGAGTCTGAAATCTCATGGTAAATTGCTCTGAAAAAAAATCAATAGGTCAAAAGCCCTGTGTATGCCAATGGCAAAACTTCTGCTGCTTTTGGTAGGCTTGTGAGTTTTCTGTAAAACAGGAAAAAAGCAGGATTGGTATCTGGGGACTAGTCCCAGTTCATTGTTTTATTGGATCCAGAATCTTATTCTACTGTTCCCTGCTGTAAAGTGTGCTGGGATCACACTTGCTATACATCACTTAGGAGAAAAGTCTGTCTTCAGAGCCTGTTTGTAACATTTAGAGTGCCCAACCAAGAATTTCCTCCTTGTGAAGGACAACATTTCTCTTTTATCCCCTTAGCAGAGGGCCATGCAATGCTACCTGGGGCTGTGACTGTTGCCAGGTTATTGCCACACAATATTTTTTGGGAAAGAAATCTGCAAAGTATAAAACTGGGTTCAGGGCTGGAGTTTAATGGGCTTCTGGGTATCCCAGAACTGTAGATACAGTCTGCTTTGAAGACTTTTTTCCCAGGTGTCTTTACTGGACAGTGCTACCCTACTTTTAAGCATCTGCTGCAGTTCACTCATTCTGTTTGTGTACAAACCGATCTCCATGTACATACAACTATTTTAAATTTATAAAGTAACATGGAACCTTAATTGATAAAAGTACTTTGTAAATGACAGAGACTCGCAGAAGCAGTATAACAAGGACCATAGTAATAGTACTGTGAAGAACACAATAAGCAGCAGAACAACTGAGGAATAAAATCCCATCTTTGCCATTCACCTAGTCTATGGAGGAGATGTGCATTACAGGCATTCCTTTATAAATTGGAAATTAAAACTATAAAAAGAACTACAGGGAAAAGAACATTTGTGATGACATAGCATATAGCATGGCATGCCATGGCACGGTGTGGGTTGGAGGAGGTCCTGACAAAAATGAGGTTCTCGTAGTACAGACAGAAGGAGAGGAAAGAAATTGTATGACTGCAATGGACAAGCGATTCTCTAAACAAAATAAATTAGACCTAAACCATCACCATTTTTACTCAGGTCTTGTCCTTGAGTCAATAACACAAAGAAACAAATAAACAGCAGCAAAACAAATCGAACTCCCCCACATTTGCACTCTCACGTCCTAAATTCCAAAAACTATGTTCCCCGTAGTAGAAGCATTAGTACAAGATTCAGACTTTTCTGTAGCTCCTTTATGCCACTCCTGTGGTGTAAGGTAATGGAAAAGCTTCCAGGCAACTGAATATTTTCCCCCTGCTAGAAAATCCCTGGGTGGCTTAGACCCAACATTTAAAACCACTTAAAAATGTGAATAACTTCAAGATACCACAGGTGGCCACATCTAACAGTCTAACACAAAGGCCACTAATTAAAGCTCTCTCTGTATAAAAGGAAATGCAAAAAGCAATGCTAGATATATATGTCTCCCTCTCATAAAAAATCAATGGAGGCTACAGGAAATTTCTTGCAGAACTATTGGACAGAAGATTGTTGTTTCAATTCACTCATCAAACACACACAGAGTGACTGAAGTGATGCAGTATTCCCAGGGGCAACTGGGCTCTGCCTGCAAGACTGGAGGTAAGAATCACCACCGGCATAAGTATGGTGTTTCCTCCTTCCATTCACATTGCTTTCTGCCTTGATTCTCCTAAAAGTTACAGTTGCAGTGGCAGTTATCACTGGGCAATGGCTTTGGATACCTCCTTATTTCACACAGAAGGTAGGTCCAAGGAGGACTGTGCCCGGCAGATCAGAAGTATCTGTAACATAGCAGGTATTTCTAATTTTAAAAAATGTTTTTCCCCAGTAACTGATGCATCTCGGAAAGTCTAAGATCAGTGACAGAGAATATAGTATTTGACAACCTGAAGCATGTGGCCTGTGAGAGAAGGTTGAGGGACATGGGAGTGTTCAGCCTGAAGGAGAGATGGTTTCAGCAGCAGCTGCCAGATACCTACAGGATATCGACTGAGAAGATGGAACCACTCTTTTTATAGTGGTGTGTGGTGGGAGGATGAATGAAAACAGACATAGGGGTTTGATGATATTTAAGGGAAAAAAAAATCACTATAAGGACATCAAAGCACTGGACACAGAGACTGTATACAGGCTCCATCCTTGGGAATTTTTCAGGCCACAATGGATAAAAACCTTAGCAATTTGGTGTGAGCTTGACACTGACCCTGCTCTGAGCATGAAATTGGAGTGGAGACCTCCTGAGACCCCATCGACATGAGTTATTCTGTGCTTCTGTGGACATGTGATTCTAGTATAGGCCATGAAGTTTGCAGGTACTGTAAACCAGGAAAGCAGGAACACATATACCTTTATTTAATATGGAGTCAGATATGATGAAAGCACATTGATTGTGCCGAAAACAGTCTGGGAGTCTGGCAAAAGAACAATAAAGAAAAAAAGAAGCCACCGTAATGCAGATCCTTGGCTTCTTACTCAGAGTAAGTTAGCATCTGATCTGCACTAGAATTAACTGCCCCAAAGTTTGCCCAAGGGGAGTCATCTGCCTGGTGTCTGCAATGTGGGATGTCTGCTGCTTCCCAGGAGCTGAAGCTAAGAGATGGCCTTGTTTGTACCCTTGCCCTACCACAAGTTCACATACCTGTTGACATGAATCAAATAAGAGGGTCCCAAGCTCTGTACTTTCTTCCATGCAAGTACTACCTTGTGTGAACAAGCTTGAGCAATGACTGTTTTAGCAGGCTCTAGCAGACTCATGCAATAGTAGTGAGCAGGATCACACAGCAGTAAGCCTTTCTATTTTGATTACATGATATGTATCTTTTCCCTCCCCTCTGAATTGCTTTTACC